AGAGAGAGAGAGAGAGAGAGAGAGAGAGAGAGAGAGAGAGAGAGAGAGAGAGAGAGAGAGAGAGAGAGAGAGAGAGAATGCATGCCTATGCTTGAAAGGCACAACTTCTCCTATGGGCTTGGGAATTGCTATTTCTTTTTTTTTCTTTTTTTTTTTTTCAATCAAAGGGTGACATCCTGCAGATATCACCGTGGAACTGACAATCCCCAGGTAATGCAGAAATTCGCTGAGCTAGTTCCATATGGATTCGGGCTCAAGTCTGCAGTTCAAGAGTTCATGGGTGTACCGACTGAGGTAGGCCTGTTGCTATTCCATTGTCACTTGCCCCGGAGTGTGTTGAATGAAAGATCTGTTGAAGAAAAGATCTGTTTGGCTGCCCTTTGCTGCGGCTCACCTCAAGTCCTGCTACTACAAGGTTTCTTTTCTTTTCTTCTTCTCATTCCCAAGGATTTGTTTTCTGTTGTGCATTTTGGGCATTTTCTGTTCTTCTCCTGCACTTCTCCTTTGTCTCGACCGTGAGCACCTCCAAGATGTGCCAAATACTCAGCACACTCTTCGTCAGGAGTGGCTGCAGCACTATTAGGGGGGATGCTATGTCCGGGATGCCTGTCTGTGTATTCCTTGGGCGATGACACAAATTTATCGGGGCGACTCCCTGGCTCTGACAGTGGTGTGCACCTGCAGTCTGTGGAGTTCTACTTGTGATGTGAGGAGGCGATGATCTGCTTTGGTCCCTGCTGCATGAATGGACTCCGCGGTGTTGCCTTGCTGCCTTCCTGGGTGCCCATCCACTTGCCTTGTGTTGTTGCCTTCTTGGTGTCACCCCACTCCTTTGCTGCTTGCTTGCTTTCCCTGTGTGCTGCTTCACTGCCTCACTTCCATCCGTTTCGCATCTCCCTGTAACTTCTAAGAAACGGTACATGCCAGCCATCGGCTGCGGGCCCCTTTCGGCGGCCGCCTGCCGTCGATTTATTTTATCAACGGCACGCAAGCCTCCGAAATGTACAGGTGCTTCCACGCCCGCCGTTGATTTATTTCGGAGAAGCTCAACCGGACTCTCAACTTCGCTGGGGCCATACACAGGTGCTTCAAAGGACCAGGACATGCCAGCCATGGGCCGTGGGCCCCTTTCGGAGGCCACCTGTCGCAAATATATTTTATCAACGGTGGGCGAGCCTCCAGAATTTTTGGAGAGGCTCAATCAGATTCTCAACTTGGCTGAGGACATGTAACGGTGTGTTGAAGCCTAGCTGCGCCGCTGCCTTCTTGCCTTGGTGCTTTACTGCCTCACTGTACTCTTGCATTGCTGCCATGTGGCCTGCTGCTCATCGTGCAGCCCCACTGCATGCCTTGCCGTGCCATTGTGATTCTGCAGACCGTCGAGAGTCGAGCCTTCCGATGCGTCAATGCAAGCCTGATGAAAGAAACAGTCTGTGTCGACCTCCTCGTCCTCGTCCTCGTTTATCAATCAATTCTCTTTCCTTATTTTCTTTTCTCCATCTTCAGGTGGTCTCTCTACGGCGCTGTCTTGGGCTTGGTCTTTACAATGTCTACATTTGGATTACCGTTAATGCACCAATTGCAGACATGGTTTCCATGCCTGTGAGACACCACTCAAGTTAACGCAGCATGCTGCGTGACAAGCTGCACCATGAGTGCTGCGGTCTTTAATACCTTAAAACCCAAACACAAACATGGACACAGGAATCCACGGCGCAAATCAACTGAGTCTGGAGGATTAGGAAGACAGGACAGAAAGAACACAATATCTCACTTGAACTGTGGAACCTTATGGACAGCGTCACGAGGCAGAAAGCCCCTACTGCAAAATGGTAAACATCACAACACGGGGGAAAAAATAAAATTACTTGTAAAAAAATGTGAGAGTTGCTGCGTCCTCAAGACCTCCTTCGGCGGCTAAGAGATGATCACGCGCTGTGCAATTCATTTGAGAAGTCCATCCCGCGCGAGTAAGGATGACATGCAACTGTACACAACAGGAGCGCAGGAGGCGGTCAAACAAGCGGTGACTGACAGCTTCTTGGCGATTCTTAGTCGCAAGAAGAAAAAGAGTGAAACTCGATCAATTTGTTATAGGAAAAATAAACAACGCACCGACAAGCTGGCAAACCGCCGGTAGAATGGCAGAGCAAAGTGGTCTTCAATGCTCTTCATAGAGGTCAAGATGTCGAAGAAACGTAAGCAACGGAAACGGACCCACGTGCAGATGAAACAGTGCCCTCGGAATTCTCAAGGGTGATAAGGCCAGAAGCGAAAGCAACCTCAGCAACAAGAGACGCTGGTAAACGACCCTGGAGGCAAGTGCTCACATCTAAAGGCAAAAGCTGTGATCCATCAAACAGTAGATTGACACCTGGAAGCACGACCTCCTCCTCCTCGTCCTCTACGACCGCCCCACCTACTCCTCCTGCTGCTCCAGGCCCTCCTGGTTGGCCAGTGGTACCCGGCGTACCATCCTCCGACCGCAAAGTGTCTTCAACAACCCTGTGAGGTGCTTGAAACACCCGAGGCGGCGTTGATCCTGTCTCTTATACACATCTAGATGTGTATAAGAGACAGATCAAACAGTAGATTGACACCTGGAAGCACGACCTCCTCCTCCTCGTCCTCTACGACCGCCCCACCTACTCCTCCTGCTGCTCCAGGCCCTCCTGGTTGGCCAGTGGTACCCGGCGTACCATCCTCCGACCGCAAAGTGTCTTCAACAACCCTGTGAGGTGCTTGAAACACCCGAGGCGGCGTTGATCCACCCGAACCACCCCTCAAAAAGTTCTTCAGACTATCTTGGCTAGATGCTAAATGACAAAGCGAGAACGATGGGTCGGAACTATCGAAGCTTGCAACTTCAGATCGGAGGCGACGATGTGGCCGCTGCTCTCCAGAGGCACCCCTCTGTTCCCCTGATACATATCTGGGCGATGCAATTGGACTCAAGCGCCCGCTGACTGAGAAGTCATCCAATGAGCCCAACCGACTTCGTCTATCACAAGCAAATGACACCCCGCTGCCACACCATTCCTGTTGGGGAAGGCCCAGGTAAGCAGCAGTTGCAATAGGGCCCCCGGCCCGGTAGTCTGATATGAAATCTCTGAGCTTAACACGAAGATTCATCATTGCCGTGCGATGACGCTCCAGTGCAGCTGAGTCAAACAAGCATGCTCTTATGGCCCCTTCACATACACTCTTACAAAGCTCTGTTTTAAAAAGAGGCACACCAAACTCCACACTCTGCGGAACCCAAACCGCTGGTCGGTCCCATCTGGACATCTGCTGCCCTCCTCCTCCTCCATAATTTGCTAATTGCTTGCTGACCTTCATCATGCGAATATACCCCACAGTTCTTAGCTCAAGCTCATTCACTGATTGAATGACGGCTGGCAATTTGTGCAGCTCAACATCCTTCCCCTCCTCCGATCCCCCTCCCTGACTGGTATCCTTTCCCCCTACAGATGCCCCCCTCCATGGCGAATAAGGGTGTGCAGTCTCCCTAATGTCTGCTTCTCCTTCACTTCCTTCGAGAAGCGGCAACGGTAAGTCAGCGGTCTCTGGCTTGGAGCCAACACCCAAATCCTCCTCCCATAATGGCTGCACAAGCACAGCCGACTGCCTTAGCAGCGAATTGAGCACATGCAATAGTATTGAGCCATTCACAAGTGTCCCTTCCCCTTTTCCCCCAACACCACCGAGACTCTCCCCATCCCATGACCAAACTATTGCCTTATCACAATCTGCCAGTGCTGTGGGCAGAACACGCAGCCTCTGCCCTTGCACCAGCGCCACTGTCACTGGTCCCGACCCCGCAACAGCATACAAAAGCAGCTTCATCCATGGCGAAACAGCAGCTCCTGAAGGCGGGCCGAAATGTACAGGACCCATGCCTTCAGAGCTCACCATTGGTGGTGCTGCCATCAAAGGCACCATTGATACCACGACTGTGTAATCCCGTTTCATGACTCGCTGCAATGTCGCAGGCGGCAAGCCTGCCAGGCTCTCACACCGCAGCATATCCACAGGACATCGCAGCCGCTGATGCCTAAGCGGACCACCAACCTTCCATTGACTGCTTCCCACATACTCTCCACTCTCCCCCCTCCCCAGATCTACTCCCATTCCGAGACTGTCCCCAGTCCCACACTCAGTGTCATCTCCCGGGGTCGATCGCTTTTGTGCGCCATAATCTGCTCCAGCTTCTTCGGCACCCTCACTTGCTCTCGCTCCCACTTGCTTGCCATTCCCATCTCCAACCATGTCTTTATCCCCTGCTCTCACGTGCCATCTTCTCTCTGGTTTTGTTGGCCCTTCATACCATCCTTGCCACTCGTCCTCTGCCAATTCTACTTCTCCTTTGTCTGAAGGATTCCCTCCGGCCCCGTCCACCCCAGTCCCATTACTTGCCGAGTCTGAGGCTCGATCCTCTCTTACACTCAAGAATCCTCCCGCACTCAAACCGGAAGCATCTGCCTCCATCCCTTCCCCTCTGGGTACTTCAGCTAATCTCTCCCCACCCGCTTCAACAGCGACGTCCCCCTCCTTTTCCTCCGTACCTGCACTTTTCGGCAAGTCCCATGCCTGGCCTCCCTGCTGCAGACACTGCAGAACATGCCTCAAGCTCACAGCATGGTCAGCAAACCGCTGCAGTTCCCCTTCGAGCTTCTGACCTTCAATTCCTTGGAGTTCGTCTATGATCTCCGTCACACTAGCATCATTTAATTTGCCAGCCTCAAAGAGAGTTACAGCATGCCGCTTCAAGCCAGGTGAGAGTGACCCCATCATCAGGTAGCTGGTGAGATTGGCGTCCACCATAAGAGCAAATCGTGTCAGGTTCCGCCCAAGTCCAGCCAAGTCTCCATAGCTGCCAAACATATGCGCCATATGCTCCGGCGATAACCCATCCATCATCTCATCATGTAAACTTCCAGGATAGCCCATCATTCCTTGACCTCCATCCTCCCCTACACTGTCTGCGCTGTTTGGCGAGCCAGGGACGCCACCATCCTTTGTAAGAAAATTTGATGGGTCAAAGATCTTCCTCGCATATCCAAGACGGCAAGCCAGGGAAACCGCTGCTTCCAGCTGAAGCAGGTCGGCCTGTAAAGTTCCAGCCAACTCTGCAACCGTTGCATGCTCACTTGATGCCACAAATACTTGATATAGTAATCTGTTGGACAGCCAGACAGCAAGGACACGTGACTTGCATAGTTGAACTCAGGTCAGAACGACAAAAGATCAGTGAGAGAATCCGGGAGCAAGTGAAAGGGAAGGATGGAGGTCAAGTGAAAGGGAAGGATTTGCATGAGCAGGCAGGGGTGCATATGTGTGTGAGTGTGTGTGTGTGTGTGTGTGTGTGTGTGCACACACACACATTGAAAGGGAAGGATGGAGGTCAAGTGAAAGCATTTGCATGAGCAGGCAGGGGTGCATATGTGTGTGAGTGTGTGTGTGTGTGTGTGTGTGTGTGTG